GCTTTCATGTCATGCAAATTATCACAGATGCTGGGCAATGCCTTATCACGTCATTAACCTATTTCCCAATGGCCAGGATGAGATCTTGCGTGCTCTACCTTTACTCAGACAACTGTCCAACACACTAATTTATGCCTGTCCTTGCCTAACTTTACCCCTTATTACTGGGTTAAACATACAGTGCATAAAAATACAAGAAATATCTTTCATTCATATATCAAACTCAATTCAATAACAGGAACTACATACAATATCACAGTGGAGAATCAATTTCTAATAAGTAAAAACTATTCACAAAAATTCAATTATCTAATAGTATTCTTCTATCATTATTCTTAATCTGAAAGCAATTTTGTAAGAACAAAACTACTTTTTAACTTGATGACTTCTGCTGAAAGACTCAACATAATATGCAAGTCATCTGGGCATTATAAATGCATCTCACTTGATTTTACAGGCACTCATTAAAAAATTGTTCCCACTTTATCACAGTCTTAAACCATAAATGAAAGAAAATCAATTAGATTATTACTTGGAGATCTGCTTCGTGACTGCTGTAATTTCTTTTTCAATATTCTGCATTGCCAATTTAACAGCCTCTTCTGTCATTACAGAAATACTGCTCTTGTTACCAGGTTTGCACTGCTGAGGAGCCTTCTAAAATAATCAATTAGTAAATGAAAATTAATTGTCAGTACATAAAAATATTTCTGCTTTCAACAGTGATCAGAAGAAATCAATTGTAAACTCAATGCAAAAATGTAGTATATATCATACAAATGTTTCACAAGCTAGATTGAAAAATCATGATTTCTTAATATTCTTGCATTAATTTACTTACAGCATTCTCTAATTCCTTTGGTGGAATATTTTTCAGTCGTCCTAACTCTTCTGGATTATCACCCCAGGTGAAAACTTTTATTCTGAAAAAGGATGGATAAAAGACTATATAAATATGTACAAACCAATCACATAGGTACAAATGTTACATCCATGAAATTTATATATTCACCATCTCCTAGGACCCAAAGCTTAAAATAAACCTAAAAATTCAACAAGAAACTAAAGAAGCAATTCCATTTCACTGAATTAAGATTATGTATTTCTATTATTACTACCTGTTCATAATTATCAAAACCTCAAAATTATTACTCAATTTTGCATATCTACCTCTGATCCAGAGGGGATGAAGGGTATCAAATTCTCCTTTTCTTCAGCTTCTCGACGTTCTAACAATTCTGTCCTCAGCCTTGATGTGAGCGTTGGTGCAGCATAGCCATGACTTGGTTTATCAACTCCTTTGCCTGTTGGTAGTAATCTGGCTGTTTGATTTTTTGTCTTGGTACTTTGCAGAGTTGAATTCCCTCGAGAACTTAATGTAATGATCTCTCTGTTACTTGTCCTCCTTGGTTCTTTATGTGAGGTTACCGAATCACTTTCTTCTTCAAGTGAGCCTCTTTCTCTCAGATGGTGCTTGCTGTGAGACCCCCTTGAGTTGGACCTCCTGGTGGACTTGTATCTCCTGCCAGGCAAAATCTCATCCTCAGAGGTCTCTCCTACTATGTGACTACTTCCTCTGCTGCCTTGTCTCTTAGAGGACCTGTATATAGCCGCAGGATTATGAGTTGAGTTATCAATGATGCTACAATGAGTTGACTCGCATGGTAGTTTCTGGGTAACATTCTCATTACCTCTTTTGCTTCTAGGTCTCAGAGGCTCTTGACGAGAACGTGGCTGCTGTGATCTTGACCTCCTTGGGGTATCATCACTGCTGCTTGACAGATTTTCATTTGGATTATCTATCTTGGGAGCAGATATGTCTTGCTTTTTCTTTGTTTTGACCTTTCTTTTACCGCTAGGATGATGGCTCCCAGTTCTCAGGTTCTGAAGTATGACAAATGAAAAAGATATAGGGGGGGGATATAATACCTCTCTGTTCTGTCACCTGACAATGATGCTATCAACATGATGAGAACCTTTGTGCATTCACATTTCCCTTTTCTTGGCAGTTTTTGTGCATTCCTACTTAAACTTTATATACATATAACATTCTATAGCCTTTCTGTCTTCAATGAAAAATGCTATAACAGGACCTGCTATATCTATTCTCAGCATAAATGCCAACAGGAAAAAATCAACTTATCCAAAATCTTTACAGCATAACTATTTCATCAGCATTAGTAGTCTGTAACATCCAGCACAGTTTTGTCACACGTACTTGAGATTAGGCACTAAATTGTTCGAAAACTTATAGAAGTAAGAATAATATCAGAGGTGGTGTTGCCATCAGCAGGGAGTTTCAAGAAACCATGGAATAAAATTATATTCATGTAGGTATCACATGTGGACAAGTAGATAGAAATAATGAAAAATAGGCAAAGAAATTCCTTGTTTTAATAAATGCTTAATGCACATGGAAATGCTTACAACTGCTATAACAACACAACAAAGCTATTACCCACCCTTGACCTGCTTCGTGGTTGCCGTTTAATCAACACGC